AAATGGAGTTCATTGAGAATCACGCGATGCGTAGAGTAATATAAGTAATATAATAAAATCAGTACGATATACTGGTAGAATTAATGTGGAAAGTTGTTAACTGTAGTATGTATACCTCAGTCCACGAAGCGGAAATCCGTAGTATTTCAGGCTTGATAAATAATACTAGTTGATATTTTTGTCCCAAAAGAAGTGTTCATTGCGAATGCCATGAATTGTAGAATAATATAGGGCCATATAATCGATATAATATATTGGCAGAATGCATGTGAAAAATTTTTAACGGTCATATGTAAACCTCATTCCATGTACCGAAACCCCATAATTTTTCAGGCTCGTTAAATTATATTGGACGATGCTTTTGTATAAAAGAATGGTTTTCATTGTGAATCCCGCGATGCGTTGCGTAATATGAGACCATAAAATCAATAACACATATTGACAGAATGAATGAAGGGAATTTTGAAATATCATACCTAAAGCTCATTTCACATACTAGAAATCCGTAATATCTCAGGCTCAATAAATAATATATGATGATATGTACGTATAAAGAAGCGTTGTTCGTTGTGAACCGCGGGGTACGTAGAATAACATATGTCAATAAAATCGATATATTATTCTGACAGAATGGACGTGGAAAACTTTGTATAATCTTCGTAAACCTCATTCAACTTTCTGGAACCCCGTGTTATTTCAGGCTCGATAATAGATGATGTTTGTGTACCAAAAAATGGCATTCATTGTGAACACCGCGATGTGTAGAATCAAATAAGACCACAAAATCGACATCATATATTGGCAGAATGAATGTGGAAAGTTTTGAAAGCTCATACGTAAACCTCATTCCGCTTTCCGTAACTCGTCAGGTTACAAGTCCTATAAGTGATGTTAGATGATATTTATATAAAGAAAATGATGTTCATTGTGAACATCGCAGTGAGAATTGTATAAACTTTAATGATAATATGATATATAGGCAGAATGAAAGTCGAATATTTTGCATTTTCATATGTAACCTAAACCTCATTCCACGTACTGGGAATCGGTACCATTCCAGGCTCGATAAATAATAACAGATGATATTTATATACAAAGAAATAGAGTTTAAAGTGAAACTCGCGATGCATGGAAGAATATAAGACAATAAAGTCGATATAATATATTGACAGAATTAATGTGGAAAACTTTGAACTGTAATTGTGAACCTCATTCCACGTACCGACACACTGTATTATTTCAGACTCGATAAACAATAATAGATGGTTTTGTGTACAAAGAATGGTGCTCATTTTTAATCCCGCGATGCGTAGAATTATACAAGACCATAAAATCGATATGACATGTTGACAGAATGAATGTGGAATATTTTGACGTGTCATATCTGAACCTCAATGCACGTACCAGAACTCTGTACAATTTCAGGCTCGATAAATGATATTAGATGATATATATATACGAAAAATGCTATTCATTGTGAACATCGCGAAACGTAATGTCGTAAAAGACAAAAAATTCGTTACAATGTATTGACAGAATGAATGTGGAAAATTTTAGATTTTCTTATGTAAAGCTCATTCAACGTGCCGGAACTTCGTAAAGTTTCAAGTTTGATAAATAATATTAGATAAATAATATGTATTTACAGAGAATTCATTTCATTGCGAGCGCCGCGATACGTAGGATAATATAAAATCATAAAAACTATATAATATATTGACAGAATGAACGTGGAAAAATTTAAATGCACATATATAGACCACATTCCATGAAACGGAACTCCGTAATATTTCAGGCTAAATAAATAGCATTAGATAATTAAGTAAAAGAAAGTGGAGTTCATTATGAGTCCCGCCATACACAGTATAATATAACACCAAAAATTGATGTGATATACTAACATAAAAATGTGGAAAATTTTGAATATTCATATGTAATCGTCATTCCATGGAACGGAATTACGTAACGTTTTAGGCACAATGAATAATACAAGAAGAAATTTATGTTCAAAGAAGAGTATAATCGTGAACCACTCGATGCGCATTATTATACAAGACTTCAAAGACCATACGATATATTGACAGAACCAATGTGGTGTATTTTGAATGGCCATATGTATACCTCGTTCCACGTACGGGAAATCCGAAATATTTCAGGTAAGTTATATAATATAGATGATATTTACAAACCAAAAAATAGCGTGCATTGCGAATCCCGCAATGCGTGAAATAATATAAGACAATATAATCGCAATGGTATATTGACAGCTGAATATGGAAAACTTTGAATTGTTGTTTTACAATGTTCCACGTTGCTCTACTTCGTAACACTTCAAGCGCGATAGATATTAGATGATACATATGTACAAAGAAAAGATAGTCATTGTGAAACCCGTGATGCGTAGAATATTATTAGGCCATAAAACCGATAAAATATAAAATATTGATAAAACGAATGTGGAAAATTTTGAATTGTCATATGTAGACCTTATTCCGTACCGGAATTCTATAGCATTTCAGGT